GCTGTTCTGCAGCAGCTCTGTTTGCTACCTCTAGCTCTATTGCTTGTGCTGAATATCCAGTTTCTCACACACCAGCTGTCTACATCTCATGGACATTTTTCCTTTTCTCATAGTTTGTACAAGTTGTATGTGGCTGGAAGCTGGTAGACTATATGACCATACAAAACATGTTGCCTTTTTGTCTTGCAGCAAGTCGCAGTCTTTGACAAATGCCTTCAGTTTCACAGAATCATCCTTCGTCCGATCATCTGTGAATGAAGACGAAGCAAAAGCTGAAACTATTCGAAACTTGAGGAAATCCTTTGCTAGTCTTTTTTCTGATTAGCCAGCTTCATCTAAATGCACCTAGCATATAGTCTAAACTACGTGAATGTTACATAGGTTTTGTTTTCCCTGTGACAGTACCCTTCTCTACTGTGCTAACTGTTGTATTAAGCAATATGTTAAACTAAAAAAAAAGAAAAAAAAAGGAAGGACTTTGATGAGATACCATTCAGGATCATGTATAAAAACCTAGAAAGAAGGAAGGGTTCTATTACTAACACAGAATGCCGAATTCTAAGGTCCTTATCCGTTGTAATATTGTGGCCTTACTGTGACTGAACTATATAATCCTATTTGAGACTCCTTTGTAGAATTGTGTTAATAAAGCATTGAGTAATGGGTTTCTCCTTGCTTTACCCATTTCCAATGCATTGCAATGCATGTGTATTTTGTGTGTAAATGTTTTGTACTGCAAAAGTATAGTCTTGACTTGTTCTGGCCTCCCAAATTTAGGAGGCAGTTCACACTGACATTCTTGTCAAGCCACATGAATAATGTGAGGAATGGCAGCAGTTTCTTCCTCCTTATACAATCTTTCCGTCAGCTGGTTGTAGACTTCTGATGTATTGCTGAGAGTTATCAGTACACTAACTTAATGTCATAAATAAGAGTGTGTATGTACTACTGTATCTCCATATGTCTACTTAAATTTATTTCCAAATTGTAACCATAACTGGGTTTAGTTGCAAAGAATATGCATGATGTTACCCTTATTTTTGTGAACACCTTCTAATAAATGTAAAGTCCCATGCCTGATTTAAAAACTGTCTTCTACAAAGCTTGTTTCAACATCAATATATATTGTCTATTTTGACTGATATCAAAAGGATAGCTTTATGATTATAAAATATGTGGTCACAAAGAAAACAAACTACCACAAATAATTCCCTTTTTGAATCAGCATCATAGAAAATTATAAATTCTAGGAATCGCATTTACATTTCTAATAAGTTGCATATTTTAAAAATATTTCTCTAACTTCCAAAAGCTTTGAGTTAATAGCAATTTTTTTTAAAAAAATTATCTAAAAGTCAAACGGAAGTTCATTAGTAATCTCTAGACTATCCATTTCCAAATGATCATCACGTCATTCTGCCTATCATGAATTACATGCAGCAGTGTTCCTTGCCAGGAAACAGTGCTAACAGGGGAAACAAGAAAAATGAACTGTAATATTAGCATGTCTGAGGGAGACAACGAGCAACACGACGTTAACTTAAAAACCCTATGGGATTTGTAATGGGTCTGTGGAGACACATCTATTTGCCTCAGAACTTTTACTGCTTGTTGATCCAATAGTTCATGAAGTCTGGGTAAATCACAGTCACCATTTGATGACGTAAATCCTTTCAGCCGTTTTGGATTCCTTTGGGTGAAGAGCCTGGCTCAGGCCAGGAGGTTGGCAATGAAGTATGGAAACTTTAATCGCCAGTGATGTCAGAATTTAGTTTGTACATTAGCATCTGATAGCTCTGTTTGTCAACACAGTCTAAGTTGACGATCTTAGCATATATATTTCCTGAAAAGCAGACGTGTCCAAATCACTCGCAGGCAACGCAGCTGACACCCTTTTTGGACTGCAACGAGGACTGACTCAATATTGTAGTTGAACAATCGTGCCTAGCACAATGCTCTCCTCCAGGTCAAGACTAAAATGAGTTTATGGGTAAGTTTGCACTGCGATGTTACAAACGTTAAATACCTAGCATTGCCCTCTATAGGCTGGAATCTCGGTCTCTCTGTTCGGCATATAACCCTCGTCTTTGTGGAAGAGCCCTCAGAGAAGCCCTCTTACTGAACTAATGACAATTCCCTTTTCTTTCAGGAGGAATGTAGTGTGTACAGAAGCCTGTAGTTTAGACGATGAATTCTGTGGCAGAACAGAATGCTTTAACTGTTAATAGTTTTTATAAGAGTTCATAAATATCAGCTGTACTTAGATACTTTTTTTTAAAGTTTTGTCCCCCTCCTGCCCCCCACTGGATCGAAACACCCTTCGCTGGGCTGCAATAACAACCTTGAGCAGTTATAGAGCCTTTCATGTCTGAGAAGCACTTTACTTTTAGATTAGAAAGATTAATCAAAGTTGCTAACGCAAATTAATTACTGCTACAGAGAAAGCATAGCAATTATGCATAGTTTGGCACGGTTCATGATTAGTACATGCCTAGTTTCAGCAATATTTAGTACAATGTGAATTACAGGTAGTTCATTAGTCCAGGCCCCAGATTTCGACTTGAGGCAAAGTTTCTCGCTCATATAAAATTCCCTCCCACCTCTTCCTGGGAGAAAACGGGTTTCACTACAGTCTTTGTTTTACCATCTGGAACAAAAAAAAAGAAAGAAAAGGAAAAAAAAAAGCAAGATGATGCAATCAAATCTGCATGGTGTATCCTCCCACACAATGTACATAACACATTGCCTCTCCACGATGCCAAAACTTCTTTATACCTCCGAGCGTGCTAAAGCGTGTCACATGCAAGCTGATGCATGCTTATGTTCCTTATGCAGTGTTTCATGGTTAAGACATTTTTGAGCAATCTATAACACATCTCCAAAAAACTAATCAGAAAAAAATGGGGTTTTCTAAAAAAAATCTATTGAAACATTTATTGTCCATTTTGTCTTCATGAAATAGGTTGTGCTTTGAATTCACGCACAAGCTCTAAATACGCAGTTATCCAACACAATGCTATCTAGGGTTCCATAAATGGTGACAGAAATAATCTGAGTGTCTGTGGTTGTTCAACTTTATGGACATTAGCCTAGGAACGTAAGGTCTGCACTTCGTTTGCACCTTTTCTGTGGAGATGCAGCTTATGATGCCACAGGTTTCCATGTACAGCACTCCACCTTTTTTTCATCTTTCACTTATAAATCAGGATAATATGAAATCTGCAGAGCTACTGATCAAGTTTAAGATTGAGATGCAGCCATTTTCTGACCACTAGGCTTGAAGCCAATTCAAAACACTGAAGCAGATTTCAAGATACTATAATTATGGGCAAAGTGACTAATCTAGCTTTGAAACAACCACTAGCTCTCCAGTGAAAATTAGTCAAAATAGTACCAAGGTACTTTGTAAATATTGTGTGTGTTTTGTATACTTCCTACTCCACAAGAACAAAGTCACTTCTCTGAGCCAGTGTTGTCTCAATGAACAGTTCGCATACAATAAAGCTCCTATTTACAAAATTGAAAATGTCCGTGCATATTGTCTGTGCATTGACATGGGTGTTGCCAGTATTTGGTTGAATACTAGAAATAAATTTCCTAGCAAGTTGTCCATCAACAGCAGCTTCCATGGAGGTTGGGTAGGATGCAGGTGGCTAAGTTCAACACAACTATCCAGTGCCTTTTCAGATCTCTTATCACGATGCCTATCTTGGTGACCAAGACAGCCGTGCAGGGGTTGGCAGGTGTGGTACAGGAGCTGTGGGAGACCTGGGCTGTACTCCAGTGGCAGCTGGAGGTTAGGCAGGATACGCAACAGTGATGTAAATTCATCAGAATTTTCAAAATAGGTACCTAAAATTAGAAATTAGTTTTCCAAATGCATATTCAGTCATGTAAATAAGCCGCCAAATTTGCAAAAATCCTGTTTTCCTCAATTCCTCCTCATTTTCTAAGGAAAAATATTCCACCTCAAGATGATAGTTTAAGTTTTATGAAGCATTGATTTGCTCATCTGTAGTTAGATTCTTGCAGCTCAAAAATTAATTCAAGAAAAGAATTCAAATAAAATTTAACCTTTTTAAAAAGAGAAAGAGTTCAAATAATGTCTAAAGTATCAAGTGAGTTCTTTAAATTTAAAATAAGCTGAGAAGAACAACAGAAAGACTATCCTCCTGTTTCACTTAAAGAGAGCCCAGGAATAAAAGAGGTATGGATTTCTTTTCCCACAGGTTATGTTACAAAGAATTAGAAAGAGGATTTTTTTTAATTTTTTTTTTTTTTTAAAAAAGCAGTATTTTTTACTGGTACTGGAGTTTTGACTTCTCTTAGCAGTGGCATTGCTCAGAACTTCCAAGGGTGGATGCGGTGTTTAAAAACTGATCAACTTCACATTACTTGACATTTAAGTTTCCCAGTACAGAATATACATTATGGAGGAGAAGGTACCTGGCTTTATGGCTAAATCTTTGTTCTATAAAAGTGATGGATGGTAACAGGGTAACAGAAATGGAGGAAAATGTAAGCTAACCTGACAAGACCAAGAATGGATTAATTGGGAGCTTAATTCTTTCCACATGGTTTTTGTTAGCATTTGTCTCTCCTCCTAATCATTTCTACTTTCCTCACATGTGCCTGTTTTTCTGACCAATCCCAATCAGCCAAATTCTACTTTAAGGATTTATAAGCTCTAAGGAATAGCTGAATTTTTGTTTAAAGGCAAGATTTTGAATTGTTACTCTCACCTTGCACTGATCTATGCTTCCTGACACCATGCAGATAGCTTGAGTAAGTAGTAATAACTGAAAGCTGACTGTTCTTGTCTTGCTTTCTTAACTAAGAATGGAATTTTGGTAAAAGATTATGTAGATTTTTTTAAAAGCATATAGGTGGGCAACACAAAAGAACTTCTGTCTATCCAGATGAGAAACAGAAAAGAAAGAAGGAATGTATATGGGCTGGTACTTAACCATTTTTTAATTTGACAACTGCTTCTCAAAAGTCTGTTACAAGTGTTTGAGTGACAACCATTTTTAAGAGTTGATCTAGTATAGGGATGTAATATTTTATAGCTAGATCTGCTCCATCGGTTACAGAATTACTGCAGTGCTGAAGAAGTGCTAGACAGTACTTTAGATGCATGAAACTAAAATTAACAAGAGCTGTGCTTTGCTAGCATGCTGTGTGCCTTCCTGAGGCTGCAGCAAAACCTAAAGTGTGGTTTTGATTTTACTGTAACTCAGAACAGTCAAGACTATCACCTAAAGAATTAATATGGTCCATGGATGTTAGACTTCTAGTAGCTCTGCTGTTAAGCAAAAACAGGATAGGCTGATGTTTCTTTTCCTTTACCCCTCAGGTACGTTACATAAAATTCTGCCATTTAAGTCTCCAGAAATACTGTTTGTGGGAACTGGAGCTATTGGGCAAAAATTTTTCAGATAATCAGAAGA